GTGTGGGGAAAGCCAGCAGCTCAATGGTAGGGCACTGATGGAAGAGCTTTGGTTATTTTTTTTTGTTATTTTTTTATGTGTAAACTTTGGAGGCTTTTCCTGATTAATTTCTTCCTTCAGATGGTTAAGGAGATGTAGTCCATTTATTCTTCAGGTATTATATAGGGAGACTAAGCAAATAAAAACATGAAATATCTATCTATCTCCTGACTTTTCCTTTATCTATCTTTTTTGCCTGTATTTTTGTCATTTCTCAGTAAAACTGAAGACAGATGGGAAATGTAGTTTCTTTCAAAGTCATTGCTGGTTAGAATGTCACTGAACTTGAAAAGACTTTATTGCAGTCCTCTTAGAAATAGTCTCTCTTCAATATTTTCCTAACCACCACCTTTTTGTGATGGCTGAATTTAGGAGGGAAATTCTCATTTTAAACAGTCTATTTTTATAGCAACTTATCAAACAGTGGCCTTTAGCTGTTGTTCTGTGACAGCCACTCTATTAAAATCCTGATGTAAACAAGTGGAGAAGGTGAACTAGAAGTGCAGATATTTGCACAGCATTACTGTCAGGTAAAATTTTAAAGATAGGTTTTATGAACCCATTATTTGCAGTCAAGGCTTTTGACTACAGCATCTGAAATCATGTAAGTAGATAAAGTGTTTTGTCAAAACATACTGCTGGGAGTCAGTATGTAGCTTCTTTTTATGTAATTCAATTTGGTTCTGTTTGCACGAAAGTGGGATATCTAACTGGGCAGCAATAGTGGTGCTGTGCATGATCACAATATAGTGACTTTGCAGTATAATTAACGTTAAATGCATTTTGTTTTCATTTAGTGCTTACTGCATGCATAATTGCAGCATACATACAGACCTGCCAAAGAAGGTGCTTGAGGGCTTTTAAATACAAACAACAAACCATAAAGATTTTATAGCTCCCTTCTTAGGAGTGGGGTATACACAAGTATTTGTGGCCACTTTAAAAACATGAATCTGTGTGTTCTGTAAAGCTCTGCTTGACTTAGCATTTGAAAGAGATGGGAACTTTCAAAAGGCAGCTATTGCTGATCTTTCAGCTCTGAGCCCCCTGCCCTGGGTGATTCTGAACAGAACTGCCCTGTGACAGGCTGGCTTGCTATGGCTCTCTGAGCAGTTGCATAAAGGCAGCATCTTTAGAGCAAACCTCCTCTACCCCAGAACACCACCCTGAGTGTACTGAGATTGTACATGAGGCATCTTTTGAAGAAGATAGACTAAATGTTCACCAGATATTCTCTCACTCAAGAGTCTGGTCTCCACATTTCCAGCTCCTCTACTTCACCTGGAGCAACTACAGGTACAGAATGTGACTCAGGGAGTCAATAGCAAGCTCAGTAAACCTGATCCTGTTGGCTGGGGTTTTCCTGACATACTAAGCAATACCTCAGAGTTAATGTGGTCTGGCATCATTTCATGAGGTTAGCATTTTGGCCAAGCCATAACTTAGAGTATTCGTCTTCATTTTGAATGGAACCTGCACTTCCCAAATATATTTTGAGAAATTTTGGAAAAGCTGGAACTGTAGCAGTTCCAAACACAATTTTCAGACATACTTCACTTAGCTACTACTGTCAATAGAAATGGTGCTGACAGGAGGAGGAGAAAGTATTTAGCTTTTCACACAGTATTAGCATAACACTTTGATGTATCTTGTATACTATTGTATGTATCCTATAGTTTGGGGTCATCTAACCAAATAAAACCCATAGTGGACAGTATGCTGTAGTACAAAAACTGCAGATTATGGGGACCAGATCTTCTCTGTTAGCATATTGGCAGAACAACAGTAGATAGATGGAGAAGTCTGGGGAGATATACAAAAAAAGAAATCATTTACCAGACAGCAAAATGGTGAGTATAGGGAAAGAAAGATAAGCAGCAAAAAAATTATCAGATAAAAGGACAATAACTTGGTACATTAAGATGATAAGTCTTTTAGTAGATCCTTTCCATCCAGCTCTTCCTTTGAAAACTTAATTTTGATCTGGTACGCATCAAAGCCAGATGAATTGTGTAAAATTCTCAAGCATCCTTTGCCTAGATATAATCCTACATCTCTGCACATAAATCAGATTATTAAATTAGTTATAGCATAGGGTAGGGATTGAGAAAGCTCAGAAAAGAAAGCAAGCTGCAATCACTAGTATGTGTTACTAAGATCTTTCCTACATAACCATGTAATACTACTCTAGTTGTATCAGTTAAGAAAGTGATTAAGACAGTCTTCTATTGTGTATACAGTTTATTTGAAGATAATTCCTACCTCAGTGTAGCATCTCCCTGCAAAATTGGTTCCTTTATATCAGAACATCATGGAATAATAATTTTATAAGTCTCCAAAAAACTCTTCTGTGTATCACTTGAGCCACACAGCTGTTTTCATGTATTAGTTAGTTCCACAATACAGGACTCCCTTTCAAAATTACTCCTGGTTGTACCATTTAATCTATACTGTTTTCTAAGCCAATTACTTGGGAGTAGAGAGACCACTGGTAGTATACCAGCCTCAAGTCCTGTTCTGCCACAGCTGTAAAAGGAGTACTGAAATGGCATGATACCAGCTCTGTTTGGCTCTGATCCAGCAAAGCACTTAAACACCTGTTCAACTTAAAGTATATGAGTAATCCCATAGAAGACAAGACAATAAATTCTTTGAACCAGTATCTGCTTAGATTCATTGACTGTGAAAACAGAAGGGAACATCTAAACAACTTGTCTGACCTCCTGTATACCACAGGAATTCTTTGAATTCAGTCTTGTTCATCCTTTCAGGAAAAAAAATCCAGCTCTAATGCTTAAATTTTCAGTGATGGAGAAACTACCACCCATCTACATAAATTTTTTCAAGAATTAGCAACCCTTACCAGAACAAGTTTATACCTTTTTTAAATCAGAGTTTATGAGATCCTTTGGATTTACTGAAATTGTGCTGTTTTCATTAATTAGACTGAAGAGGCGTGTGTTATCACATTTCTTATTTGCATACATGGTTATAGAATCCACTTAAATCAGCCTTTAATTTTTACTTTGACAAATTGGTAGGCAGTGTTTTTGGAGTTTCTCAATACACAGTAGATTATTTGGTCTTTAATCATACTCCTGTCTCTTCTGAGACTCCTCTTTATTGTTCTACTTCTCTACAAGTCTGGCTTCTGGAATAAGAAACTGTATTTCAGAAGAGGTCATCTCACCACAGAGGCAGTAGAGGTTCCTACTTAAAATCCCTTTTTTCCTTACTAGGGGTAAGATAGGACCTTTTGGCTTCATGGTCACACTGAAGTTTTACACAGAACCATTCTTTACCTCCCAACACTTTTGGTATAATTGTTTTCTAGGACAAATGTAGTCTCCTTTAAATGCCCACGCACAACCTTTTTCTTAGTATATGATCTTACCTTCACCAAAACACATAGTTTGATTGTTCCCAACTTCATTGTGCCTGAAGTGTCCTGTAACAGTTTTTCTTATTCCTTCATCTTTTATGCATATCCTCTATTCACACTTAGAGTTTATCACAATTTATTGTGACTCTTTTCTTTCACACCATGAATTAAGATACCAAACATAGTCAGACTAACAGCACACTAGAAATGTACATACTCAGCAGATGATCCAAATATATTTTGAGACCAACATCACATTTAGCCCATTTAATATGTACCATATTGATTTTGTAATACCAAGGTTTTGTAATAAAATGCTGCATGATATCAAATCAAAGCACTTCACATAAAACCTGCCATTTTTCCTGATACATGTATAACATCCTAAAGTTTTCATCAAGATATCAAGTTATTTTGATGAGATCTAGGTTTCATTAACCCTTGTTGATTGACTTAAATTATGTCACTCTCCTTGCATAATGTTACAATCTCAATATCACTCTATTATTTGCTTGTGATTTCTGTATAAAATCATTCACATAATTTCAAATTATTATTATTTATTATTATTATTGTTGTTGTTGTTATTGTTGTTGTTACTGTTATTATCCCATGGTCTGAAGATCCACCTTGAGAAGTTTAAGGTATGTTTAAGTTTACCACCAAGAGAAGGAGGTAAGCAAAGGTTGAAAAGAAAAAACTCTGAGAGAAAAAAAAAAAATACTCTTTCTAAGGCAAAAAAGAAAGGATTAAAAAAGGCTGTTTTAATGAAGAAGAGAAAAGAGGGAAAAATTAGTTAGCAGAGATGCTTGGAAAGGCTATATGTTACAAAGCAGTGACTGGCTGCTGGGGATGATAAAAGTATATTCAAGTTACTTCTAATGTTAAATTAAAGATTCCAGGTTGAAGGATGAGTGACAGAAAACCGCACAAGAGAGCAAAGCACTAGCCTTACGTAAGCACTGCCTCTGTGTAACTAAATAGTAATTATAGTTAATCATGGGTTTACACAGGAAGAGCAGAAGCCTCAGCACATACAGAGTCTCATCTCACGAAATCTATCCATGTACACAAGTCATTTCATTTAGAATTTCAGCTTCCTTACTCAGAGATGAATAGGAAGCAATGCCACAACTGACTGGTGGCACTGACAAACGCAGCAAAATACTGGAAGTTGGCATGGTGAGGACATATTCAGCTAAACCTGGTTTCTCTTTTCCCAGAGAACAGTATTTTAAAAAGAAGGGGGGAAATAGTCTTTGGAGAAGGACAGTTTTAACAAGATCTTTTCTGTTTGCTCCATCCCCCTGCGAGGGTTCAGAGCACTGGAATTTCTGCAGGCCTCTGTTTGAAAATAAGAGGCTAATGAAAAGGTACGTGCATGGCTTGCTACCCTAAACTAGTCCTAGAATATCCTGGGATTTGCCAAAGCACTAAATGACGTTGACATAGAACACTTTAAGGGAAAAGTCATCTTTTATTCTTTGCTTTTCAGTATTTAGAAATGTAGCTTCAGTTTCCTTTGTGTTTTTTGTATAAAGGAAATTCATTTTGAATAGAGATGGGTCCATTTCTTTAGGTTTGATCTCAATGGATACTGAAGCTGGACTGCTGCGCCTTCCAACTCTTGCAATTTCTGGGGAAAGAGGGCAGCTGGGTTTAGATGAAGAGGACAGAGGAACAGTAAAAAAAGAAATATTTAACATGGAGAATGTCAATTGCTGAGAAGAGCAGAGTTAAGGTAAGGCCTAACTATTTCTATGCTGAGCAGGTACAATCAGAATTTTTGCTAACATGCTACACCATCTAATTTATTTTCAAGTCAACCAAATTCCATGCTGCAGTGAAATTTCGTTTTGGCCATTTTAACCCATGAATCTATTGTGTGCTCCATGAAGGTCAACCCGTTTAGATGTCCAGATGTAGGCAGGACACTGCAGACACACAGTTCCAGGGAATGCATGCTGCTCTGTGGAGAACCAGGTAATCAGAGATCACAGGGAAAGCCTCCTTTTGCATACATCAACTCTGTCTTTGGATTATTTTTTTTTCAGTTGTAATAGTTTTTTAAATACATGGTAGCAGCACAAAAAGCCACTGCTGTTCTGGGAAGTTCTGCATGTGCTCAGACACCTTTTCTTTCTCTGCTTTGGATCTATTCCTTCCCCAGTGGTAAAGAATAGTGGGGAATCCTATGATGATAGAAGCAGTCGATACCTTTGTGAAGAACAGAGAGCTGTCTTTAGCACATGTATGCCTTTGGTTCAATAAACAACCTAGGTCTGCACCTAATTTTCCACTGAAGGATCTAATGCCAGAAGAGAACATTTGCAGCATGGTACAATGTTAAGTCTTTTTAGCTAGATATTTCCTTGACTATAGTGAGGCTTTTTCTTCCATCTAGAATGAAATGGGGGAATTCTATCATCCATGGCTTAAATTAAGTTATAGGGTTTTCTAATGTGAAATTTTCTACCAGGCATGAATATTAGATAAAGAAATAAAAAAATAATTTAACCCACATAAAAAAAAAAAAAAAAGAGAAAGAAAAGAAAAGAGAAAAAAATGAAAAGGAAAGTAAAGAAAGAAAGAAAGAATAACCAAAAGAAGTATTTAGGATCAGTTTCCTGGCACTAGAAGATCAGCAGAATCATTTTGGATACCACAGTTTTCAGGAATGGGCTACTTGTTTCTGGATACCCTAAGTCTAGTAGGTAACTTGCTGAGAAATTGAAACACAAATTCTGATGTTGTTCCAAATGACCCTCAGAAATTAAGATATGCTCAACATTTCAACATTTTTTAAAATGGACAGTCTGTTTCTGGCTTTGTCTGTGCAGGCGTATAATTTTGGGAGAGAGCTATTCTTTTGTACCTAGTGTTGAAATTCATCCTAAATATCTTGCATCATTATTGCCTATTGACTGTGGTGAAGGAAGAGGCATTTTAACAAAATGTATTTCAATGACAGAACAAAATAAACACTGGAACATATAACTGGTAACTCATTAAAAAAGTCCATGCTTTTATCTGGCTCTTCAAACACATTTTAGGCACTTCAACAAGATTAGAAAAACACTTTTATACCAAAAGAGAAACTCTTTTAATCACTTCTCTTCTAAGAAGATACCTGCATGAAAAAAGGAGAATTAACCTCTCTGCTGCCACTACTCTTTTTACTGCAAAAAAAACATTTGTAACATTTTTAATCCATTTGGTTCTGTCAGATGGAAACAGTTATGTTTTCAGAAGCATTAATCATACAGGAACAGGAAGATATTTTCAAGCACCTATCTTGCTGGGAAATTATTAGTATACACTAGACTATCATTAGCCTACTGTAATGGACCAGCAAGAGCCCCAGTTTTCCCAAGAGCCAGAGAGAAGGCCAGTCTATCACATTCTTTATGGTCCAAGACTACTGTTGTTCTTGTAGTTTTGTTTATCCTATTGCATTACAGAGAACGTAAAAAGAAAAAAAAAAAACACTCAAAAACTTCTATTCATAGCAATTTAAAGAGTAAATGAAAGCCTCAAGGAGAGAAGGGGTGAACAAATAAGAGTCACCAACAGCTGTGTGCATCCTGCTGAACTAGGTACAAAATAGCAGCTGTGGTGTAAGATGACAAAATAATTAAATTATGTGGTCAAAACCAGAAGCAAAACAATATACATATATATATATATATAAACATACTGTAGCATTGAATGCAACTCCTAAGGTTGAATTGTGCCCAGGACTGCTTCTGCAAATACATCTTAGAGGATAACAAAAGAATGAGATCATACAGCTCTTGGGTGGTTTTGCTGGGACTTTCCTCAGGATCAGATGAAAGCCTGAATGTCAAGCAGGAGGAAATTCCTTTCATAGAATGGATCTCTCTGCTCCATTCCCCAGCCTTAAAACTGGCCAAGGCCAACCTCTTGAAGATGGAAAGTTGAGCTGTTGTACTGCCTCTTCTCATTCCTCAGTGGAAAAAGAAGTGTTGATGAAGGAAGATGACTTTCTATTTCAGTAAAGAGCATTCCATTACCACCTCTGCTGCACCCACCAGGTGGCTTTAAAGTAGTCTTAGAAGATAAAGTAGCTACGTCTCTTATTTATTATTTTTTTTTAGGTCCTGTTTGTGGAAACTGCTATAGATAAAATAAATAATGACCTCAGGACTATACCACATCTTTTCTGAAAGGCAAAAGCTCTTTCAAATTTTTCTCATCCTTTTGAAACCACTCTTGATTTCTTGCTCACAAAATGCAGTGAAGTAAGACTACAATTTAATCAGCTAAGCTCCAGTGCTGCCTTCACATCCCAGCAGGTATGTGCTCATTCTTGGGTTTCTCCAGACAGTAGGTAAACTTCTGGATACTTCTCTGACTTTTAACAAGCATGCTTTTGATGTTTGCCTATAGGAACCTTAAACTTAGGGTCCTCCTATTATTTTGTCCAACAAGGCAAGGCATCGTAGTAAAGGGAGATGTTATTGGGGAAATGACAGAATATGTTCAAGGACAGTGAGTAACTTTTCTTTAAATAAAAGCACACATTATGTCCAGGAACAGTCAAAAGGGTTAAAATACAATCTTTTCGGATAAGTTTTTAGTCATATCAGGCTCAAAAAGTAAAAAGATTTGAAAGCTATTAGTGCTTCTGTAGATCATCCTCTTCCAGACAGTCTTTTTTCTTTTTTTTTTTTCCTTTAACTGACAGGTTGCTGTTAAAAATTAAAGTTAAAAAAGGCACTCTTTTTGCTACATACTTTTAATGGAACTGAAGCCAAAATAAGTCAGACTAAATTATGGGAGTAAATGACCTCCCGGGAAGTATAATACCAAATTCCAAAGAACTGTAAAGAGTTTCCTTTGATCTTTTTAGCTTCACAGCCTGAAATTCAAAATCTGTATTTAATTTTAGATTGCATATGCCAGCTTTTAAGTTTCCTTTCTAACATGATATATCATTTTAAATGATAGGACACCTTTAACTTGTATTTCTTGAAAATGCTGACTATCCTTTCTTTATTCTTTTACACTATAAAAACAGATATAAATATTACTAATTGCAAAAATAATTTGGGGTTGGGTGCAGTAATGGATAAACCATTGACCTTCACTTAAGAAACTGTGCCTTCAAGCTCAACCTGAGTTTCTAAGTGAAATGACTTTGATCTGAGACACAAGTAACTTCAGTTCAATGCCCTAGAGGATATAGATCTAGAAAAAAGGACAAGCTGAGCACTTCACTATATATTCCTATTACAATTTAAGAGGTAGACAAAGGATGCTATTTTTCAAATGTGGTATAAAGGGCCTATTTCTTTCTATGGATATAGAATCACATTGAAAAAACTGTGTTCCTAAACCTGAAATCTCAAAAGGCACAACAAGCTGTATTAGCTCTTGGACGGAGAATTCCCTGACCTATGCACTTGAGCACAGACTTTAGATATGGGCAGCTGGCATAATCTCCCTCTTGAGTCCAGAAGTAAGCCACAAAAGTCTTTATGCCTTATGCATTATGAAAAAAGTCACCTTTCTTGAGGAAAAGTAGGTTGTAGCAGGTTGGCTGGAAGCACATCATGAAAGTGCAGCTGCCAACCATTGAACTTATACTGGAAAAGCCCTAAGAAGAGTGCTTACACACAGTGTGTTGTTATGTGTCTGTCTGCTGATCAGCCAAACAAAGGTATAAATACAGTCCAGAATTTTGTAATATAATAGCATTCTGAATTGGATCCTGGGGAATAATTTGTAATGCATAATTTATCCACTGAATATGGTTTCTTCTACTAACAAAATATCCATAAACTGGTTATGATTGCCTCACACATGTTATTTTTTAAATAGAGGGACTGATTGACAAAAATTCTCTCAGATTATTTGGAGTCATTTGAGCTATATGAAGATAGTTCCAACTGACTGGTTAAGTTACATGGTTTTGTTTCATTTTCCTGATTATGAAAACCAACCATTCAACCAAGCCACTCCTGCCCCACAGCATTTCTTATATGGGAATACCTGATATGAAAGTAGCATTTTCTTTTCCATGAATGCACAAATACAGTAAGATGCTCTGCATTTTCTGTAGTTTTGAAAGGGTGGAGCCTTTTGCAATTGTGTAAAAGAAATGGTCTTGAAGCAAGAGGCTGAACTCCCTGGGGTCAATGACTACAGATTTTAATCCAACTCTTACTTCTTATCATAGCCTACCCCAGACAGCAGTTACTGCTACCTCCTTCTTCTTAGTGAATCGCTGACAAGTCATCTGGCTGGTCTCTGAAAAATAGAAAAGATCAAATACACACAAAATAATTTGAAAACATGTAACCTCAGAGAAAAATAGCAATGGCAACACTGGAACAGAACAATGAACTTAGTCAATGTAAAATTGGGTTGTGCGAAAGCTCTTTCATTCACTGACAAAGTAAAACAGATTGACGTGCTTTGAGGCTGTGGTTGCTGATAAGAAATGCCATTTGTAAGCTTTTTTACTCCCAGCCAAAGTGAAAGCAATTAAAATATTTAGAAGTAACCTTCTTCTCCCATCCAACAAGAAGCTCATCTGCACTTCCTCAGCAGAAATCCTATCTGCCGCACTTCTGGAGAGAGAGGCAGAGCAGAGCCAGTACAACACTAGAAAAACCTCAATGACAGGAGTTTGTAGAACTTAGAGAAAGTACAGTTAATAGGTACGATGTCCTGGGACTGGCTGCCCAACAGGTTCGGAAAATAATATTGTTGCCT